GACGGACAAGAAGGACCAAAGGGAGAGAAAGGAGAGGAAGGTTGGTGAGGAGCAGGGGGTAAATCAGTGCTGGAGTCCGTGGGCAGCCCCAGCCCTCAGGGGCAGCCCCAGGAGGTCTTACACCTCGTAGGTCCATACCCAGCCTTTGTCCAGATGACTTTTGAATATCTCCAGGGATGAAGATTCCATAGCCCAAGTCAAAGAGTTTGGCCTGGTAGATGTTGTTCCAATTAATGATGTTTTTTCAGACATGCTGCTCTTGGCAGCTCTGCACACAGCTAGGGGGGCCCATCGGCTGACTCAGCTAATGGGGGGTGTTGAGGTGATCCAGCCTGTCCTCAGAGGACATCTTTTGCTCCATGCTGCCAAAAGGATCCTCATGCCACAGCCCCTGCTGTGTTTTGGGCTGGTGGGCAGCAGCTGGCAGCACAGTGCGAACAGCTCCCCATCCCCATTCTGTTCCCCAGGTGTGCAAGGCCCCAAAGGCGACCAAGGTGAAATAGGACCCCCAGGGCAGAGAGGATTTCCTGGACAGCCAGGGCTGAACGGGCAGAAGGGTGAAGGTGCCTTCATCTACCGCTCTGCCTTCAGCGTGGGACTGAAGGACCGAGCCCCCCACCCCAACGTCCCCATCCGCTTCAGCAAGATCTTCTACAATGAGCAGAACCACTACGACACCAGCACTGGCAAGTTCCTCTGCAGCATCCCCGGCACGTACTACTTCGCCTACCATCTGACGGTCTACCTGAAGGATGTCAAGGTCAGCCTCTACAAGAAGGACAAGGCAGTGATCTTCACCTATGACCAGTTCCAGAACAACAACGTTGACCAAGCCAGTGGCTCCGTCTTGCTGCACCTCAGCAGTGGGGACGAGATCTGGCTTCAGGTGTATGGGGAAGGGGGGGACAACAACGGTGTCTACGCCGACAATGTCAACGATTCCACTTTCATGGGCTTCCTCCTGTACCCAGACCTGGATGTCCATTAAAGCAAGGGATGCTGCATGGGAGAGGATGAGGTGGCTTAACCCCAGACGGCGTTCTGGGGCACTGGCACTATAGCTACGCTGTATTTACCAGAAAATTGCCTTTTGCAGGGGCAACAATTGCCAAGGGTGGACCTTATTACCTGAAAACATCAGTGAGGTTATACATGAGTGACTTCCATGGGACCAAGAGTTGACTCCTGCCTCTGCTCTTGCTTCCCTTGTGGAAACCTGGACCCAGAGTCAAACACCACTCCTGCCACATCATGAGACAGTAACTCTCAAAATGGACTAACCTTTTTTACATGTAAAACTGAAAAGAGACAAATTGGTTGCCTTTAAACATCACATTCTAAATTTATCTTCTTTAACCACCTAAATTCATTTAAACCAATAGTAAACACTTTAGCTAGCATTTTAAAATGTGAGTAGAAGAGGGAGAAGACTGTTCACGAAAGCCATCTCTGCTCTTGTTTTTGGCTGGAGCAGATGGCGCTGTTTTTTCCATCATAACTCCCTGTCTTATTAGGGCCTTTGACTTCCCACCCATGGTTTGTTGTCTCCCTTCCTTAGCCCAGCTCTTTGAATATATTCAGATTATTAACTTTAATCTATTTTAATCCTTTGATTTTCCTTTTATGTTTATCCCTTATAGTCTTCTGTAATGACAACATGCTAATTTAGGGCAGGGATCTTCTCTTTTGATTTATCTGAAAGCCTTATGAACACCGGTGAGGCTACACAACAAAAACAGCCCATTGACTGCATGGTTCTGAGGGTCCAGAGGTGGTCACAGACGCATTTGCCACACAGTTGTGATGCTCGGAAATGCCAGCAGCTCCCCTGGAAACACCGTGCCTGACCGGGGAGGAGAAGATCCCTCAAGGCTCCCAGGCAGAAGGGACCTCAGGGCAGAGGTGTCCCTTCCCACATCACTGACCTGTTGCTAGAGGTGATGGCACGAGTACTTGTTCAGCCCATAGGCCGCCAGCATGGGGCACACAAGCAGCATCTTACAGCTTCCATCTGCACGCTGCCAGGATCCTGTCTCATCTCCTCTCTGAATAGCTCCCAAGTGCAGTCAGAAGTTGAGATCTAGCAACAGCGTTTCTACTTTTCCACACCATAAGTGTGCCTTCAGGAATGGTTTTCACACCAGCTGGGCAGAGCTTCAGGTGGTGGAGCAACCTCCATGTTGAGTAGGCTTCTAGGATGAAGCCCCAGGACCTGCCCCAGCTCTTAGCAAGGTCACCTCGATGGAGGAAGAGTACTAAGGCTGGGATTAGCAGCAATGGCATCAACCTGCTCTCCAAGGAGCTTGCTTGACTTCTGGCTAAAAGAGGATTTGATGGTTTCTCAGATACATTAAAAGAAGACTCCCGTTAAGCTTCAGAACAAGCTAACACAGATCAGAGCTAATGCATTATTACAGGCACAAAGCAGCGTTAAGAGCATCAACTGAAATTACTCCCAACAGCAGCATTTTCTACACTCCAGTGAATCATCACATCACACATAACAACAATAAAAAACTCTCTCAATGAGAATGCTTCCACGTTTTTGTATGTGTGCTTGGGAAGGAGTTGAAGAAAGGGCCATTCTCCCAGCCTCACCAGGCAGCCCAGGAAAACACACTTTTTTTTTTTTTTCCAGCAAAGTAGGGGCACCCTGGGCTGGTACACACAAGGACACCTCCCTTTTGCTTTCCCAAGAAACTCCCCACCCTCCAGCTTTCATCATGTCTTCAGCATCTCCCCACCTCACACTGAATTGTCTCCTTTTTGGATAAGATGAGCTCTGGTTTCCAGAGCATTTCCCCAAACCCACTGGGCCTGAACCCACCCTGCCTGGCCAGCCAGAGCAGGGTGGGATTTGCCAGCCCAGGAAGCTACAAGCACATGAAATTTAGCAAGGGCCAAACTGATGCTCAATCTGATCACGCTGAATTGAGAGAGCTGGGCAAAACCCTGCTCCTGTTATGTCAATTAGTGGGAAGGGAACAGGGAAAAGGAAAAAAAAAACACCCACAAGCCAACAAATCAAAAAACTAATCCACAAAAAAAGGAGATCTAGAAATGCAGCAGTTGCTGGATCAAATGGCCTAAGAGGCTTAAATTGAAAGGAGCAAGTCAGAGCTTTTGCAGTGGGTTTTGTTTTTGTTTTTTTCCAAATATTTTCAGATGGATTTCCTGTAGGCAGGGAAAATTGAAACAACCAAAGCACTAAGAGGCATTTGGGAGAAACATTGAGAGAAAATACTAATTTAAAGACTAGCTCCCAAGAGGCAGTCAAAACAATTCATTTTTTTCCTTGCTGCCACGCAGCAGGAGCAAATATGCTTACAGTTTTATCCCATGCACCAGGACTCAGACACAGCTTTCCACGCTGCCATGCACATCTGACACCACATGCTTTAGGCCAGGGCAGAGCCCAGGATTTCTTACTGCCCCCTGCAACCACCCCATCACCAGTGACCCATATCAATATGGCTTTCACTCGACTAACAGCATCCCCAACCTCCAGCTACCATGGATGTAGCACAAGAAACACATCATATGTTAGACCTCAGGGACCAGGACCACACTGGCCCTTATGGGAAAGTCTTGTTGAACCCCATGTGGTTGCTTCCCCTCCACATCATCCCACATCCCACTTGGGATGCTCACAAGTGCAGTCAGACCTTGTGGCAGATGACCAGTGCCCCAGGAGAGGCCCAGGGTCACCACTGACGCCTGGTCAGCCTCCTGGCCACCGTGGCAGTGGGATGGCAGAGGACTACGTGAAGGACCAAAACAAGCCCCACAGTAGGGACTCAGCCTGGAGGTCCTTGTTTCAAAAGCTGGCTCTGGTTTTTATCCTGGGCCTTTGCCTGTCCCAGTCATCAGGGTGGGGGTGCTCGGGGCTGCGTATCCGGACAGAGAAGTGTCACCTAACATCACAGTCACTGCTATATTCATATACAAGCAGAATACGTGTCTTACATGTACACACATGCACGTTGTCACAGACCATGAGATAACAAAGCTCCACAGAACGCTGTGTATTAGTATATATAAGTATATATCTTATTTAATCATTAAATACGTAGCCTCTTTATCACCCTATGAATGGCTTTTCCAGCCTCCCGAGAGCAGCAGCCCCACGCGCACACACCTGCCTCCTCACACGCCGCGTGGGAACGTCGAAACCAGCGTGACGGGGGGTTGCAGCGCTCCGCTCCGTGGGAGCATCGAGCAGGGTTTTGGCACCGGAGGGGTTCGAGGACCCAGACTCCAGACCGGGGAGCTGCAGGGCTGACACTTTGCTGGCAGGGCAGGAGCCAGGCTGCTTGCTGAGGGGCATATTTGTTTCATCAAAAATAGATTAAAAAAAAAAGGAACAAGGCTTCCCTCAAAAGCACCCCAGTTGTTCCTCAGCTGCGGGGCTGATGAGCCACGCCACACTCTGCCCTGGCGGGGCCTGGCACAGGGACTTCATTTCAGTTCCTGCCACCAGTGCGCGACCCAGTATGTGGTCTTCAACTTGCACTGGGTCTCTCCTGGATGTATATTGAGCAAGCAATCTCTCCCAAACCAGCTCTCCAAACACCACCAGGGCAAGCAACGTGCCAAATACAGGCTATGATGAGCAGAAGGACTACAGCCTCTGTAAGCAGCAAGGCTACATAAAAGAGGAGCAGCCTGGTTAATGTAGGACCCCCCTTTGAGAGTGCTTGCCCATGCAGTAACACAGGGCAGGAGGGCAGCAAAGCGGCTCCAGCACAAGCCTCCTCTCAGCTCCTCTCTGCCCAAAGCAGAGCAGGGATTTCTGTCTTTTACAGGTCACTTTCAAACACACTTTAAAGGTTAAACCTCAGGATTTGAATCCTAGGCTGAAATTCTGATCAAACAGAGATTTTCTGCTTGAGAATAGCACATCTTTTCTAGGCTGTGTTTTATCAAGAAAGAAACCCCTGTAAACACAGTAAGACAAAGCGCTTGGGAAGTTTTAAAGAAAACCATTAAGACTTTCTGTGCACTGGCTTTTCCCCTTGTCACAGGTGTAAATCCTGAAACACAGCTTCACCAGGATACTCACCCTCCAGGATGCGAGCACAGAGATGGTCTTCCTCGCAGCTCCCACTCAGGACAAGGATGCTCCATGCAGGGTACCTGCATCGCTAATGCAGGCAGGCACCTCGAAAACCAGTGAATACCAGACCAGCCCCCCAGTTAGTGCAGCCCAGTCTGTGAACAAGGCAAGCTCTCACTGCGTGGAAATTGGAGCCAAAGCCCTCCCTTTAGGGTTTTGGACTATTTTATGAAGTCTTCCACCTCAAGTCTTTGTAAGACTCTTGCTCTACAGAACTCAGCTAAAGAAACACACAGGCTTACCTCCCCAGCAGGCACCAAATCCCAGCCTAAGCCATCACACAGAAAGCCACTTTGCACCCCCAGGAGCAGCAATCAGCCCCCTCTCAGCTCTCCCCTAGGGCAAACACTCCCAGCAGAGGGTCACCCCATGGGCAAAGCAAGCACAGCCATGGGGCAGGCAAAGAGAAAACTCCCTCTCAGCAAACACACTGCAGCCAGGGTCCAGCCCTGAAGGCATCCTCAGCACCCTGTTACTGCTTCCTGAGGCTGCCTAGCCCTGCAGGTGTCTGCACCTGGGGTCTCAACAAGCCAAAAACATGCTGATGAGCTTCAGGAGCAGCAGCTGAGCATGACCAGCAATCACCCTGCCAGGCTGCAAGCCCTCCAAGGAGTCCTTATAGCCCAGGAACCTGAATCCTTGCATGTGGTGTGGGTATCACACCTCCACCTCCCTGCCTCTGCCATGCCAGGGCACACAGCCAGGCTGACCACAGTAGCCCAAGGCCAGGGAGCAGCAGGGCCCCATGCTGCTTTTAGGGGAGAGCTGCAAATACAGCTCAGGAGGGCAAGGCAGTCCTGGGGAGAACAAGTTTAGGGGAGTTCCTAATGAATCCAGTCTTTTCCATTACTGAGTTGCTGTGGTTTTACTCT